GGTGAATCCAATTTTTTTTTTTTTGCTTCGTTCTGATGTTTCGCGTTGCAATGGATCGAGTTACGGTAAATGGAATTGAATGTAGTGAACGGATTTAGGGTTTCTCGTTCGAAAAATCAGTTTATTATGGTTTTGCTCTAAACGTTCTTGAACTTGATGATATCTTCCACTAATTTCGCACTTGACTGTTAAGTGTTAACTCTCGATTCAGTGTGGTTATGTGCTTCTGCTCTTGTATGTATCGACTCAATGTGGTTTTTGACATTTAGCTGTTTGGAGAAATGCAGAGTAAATCATCACCAAGAGAGACATCAGCTCTTAGAAAATCGCAATCGAAAAGGTCTGCTCAACGTAAAACCTCGCCTCTTGGCTGGTTTCCTCGACGAAAAGGGGATTCGTATTTGAATAGGAAGATCAAGAAGCTACAGGTAAAAGTTTCATTCTAGTTTGACTGGTTAAAACATTATGTAAGTTTGTGGAATATTAAAGCTGTTTGTTGTAGGAGGTTGGTGGAATGAATCAGACTCTTGATGAGACGCTTGGCGATTCGAATCCACACTACTGCAAAATTGTAAGAGAACAAATGGCTGTGAGAGAGGCTGCAAGTAAGGCCATGGAGCTTCGTAAGGCTGCTTTGGTTGAAGCATCTTGGTGTAGAATACTTCGAGCTGCGAGGTAATTAAAGTTTTTTAGTATTCAGGAAGATATTTTGTGGGACTTTAGTTCTCTCTAGCTTACTTAACTAAAGGTTTTTATTTTCTGGTTGATAGGATCTCGAGTTTAGAAGCAGAAACTTCGATGGAGAATGCAGAAAAGGCTGCGGTGGAAGCTTTTGAAGCGGCATCTGCGATGGGAGTTATAATGCATGATAAACCAAATAGCTCGAGGAAGAAATATCGGATTGAAACATCGGGAACACATGGAGGAGGTTCTCCTACTCATACCGTTACAGCGTCTTTTGAAACTGCATTTGATGTTGATAAAGAAGTAGCGGCTGCAGTTAAAATTGCATTTTCTAGGCTTGCAGATTGTCCTTCTCTTAGTAAAGCTGAGATTAAAGATCTTCTGAGGAAAATCAGTGAGAATCCCGACCTGCGTGATAAGCATGAAATCACTGAGGTGTCTTCAGAATGTGATTCAGAGTCTGATTCAGAACTCGGCATTCTACAAAAGGTTGATGAAGAAGAAGTGGCTGAGACTTCAGATCTCAAGATGAGACCGCTAAAAGTCAATAGGAGGCAATCGTTTGGGAAGTTTAGCAGGGAGAAGCTAATAGATATGATGCTTGAGAGGCTTCAGGGCTTACATGAAGATCAACTTTCAAGTCTTGCCTCTATAGTTGCAACTTGTGGTTTAAGTGAGGCCTTGGCTGAAGTTGGTAACCAGAGGCTTGGGAATTCTTCTTCAGTGGTTACAAGATCGAGAAGAGATTCTAAATACGGGTCTTTCAATGAAGGAAAAACAACGAGTGGAATGGAGTCACAGATTCCGAGTTTGGACAAGTATCTTGTCAAGCACATGACTAAACTTGAAAGAGAAGTCTATGAAGCCAAAAGGGCTTCAAAGGACGTATCTGACAAAGACAGAAAGGTTCCTCAAGGTGTGGCAAGTGATACTGTTCTAGATTTGGGAAGCATCCTTGTGAAACATTCTTCAAAGCTTGAGAAAGAGATCGAAGAAGCCAAGAAGAATGCGGGAGTGAATCCTGGGACGTACGAAAAGAAGAACTCAAGCAGAAACAAAAAGCCATTGGATCCTATCCCAGACTTGGAAAGTCTGCTAGTGAACAAGCATGTCTCAAGATTGGAGAAGGAAGTCAAAGAAACTATAAGGAACTGCGGGAAAATGTATGAGAATGTGAAGAAACCGGGAAAACGAAACACCGAAGCAGCTAGTAGTGTGCCTGAAGTTCCCAGCTTGGATAGTTGTATGGTAAAACATGTCTCAAAGCTAGAGA